TGATTCCTTCGTTGCTGCCTCGGCCTGTTTGAAGCTTTCACCCTCAGGGAGTCCCTCACTACTACAGGAAGAAAACATCTGACGCTAATTGTTTTCCACAGCTGCCGTTAGCCGCTGCATTCATGATAATGTGAGCGGGTTTGAGCTTGTAGGCAAAACAAAACATAGAGTGTAAGGACAAAATAAAATCCAAGAAGTTAATAACAGACCATTGAGGTCCTTTTAATCACTGAACAACTGTTGGGATTGATCTAAAAATTAGTGTAGTAATTATAACATTGTGGGGGTATTTTTTATTTTTCTGTCCCAGGGATCCTTCTTTCTGCAGCAGACCGAGAGGCATACCATGCATACCGCACATTTTCAAGGTTTACAGTGTTTTATCCCTCACTGACATGCCATTGCAAATCAAAGCAGCCAGTAGAATCAGTGTAAATCAAAATGGAGAATAAACTACAGCAAAATGCTCATATTTTCAAATGTCACAGTTGCATCCAGTGAGCTTACGGATTGGATCCAATATTTTAACCTTCAAACCTTCCACACATAATTGCATGTTTTTATGTTTTCCACATAGTTTATTTGTTCCTCAAACACGCTTATTGATGTAGATGTGTGAGGGTTTATCTGACGAACACAACCTCGCAGCAGTTAAACGAGGCTTGATTCTGAGACGGGAATACATTTCAAACACTTACAGCTTCCAAGATTTGTTGACTCTCTCTTGCCATTTGGTACAAACCCAAGATGCTGCAAAATTAAAATGATTAAAGTGTTTTTAGTGTCCAACTTGTTTGCTTTCGCTGTCTTTTTACTCCCTGCCGCACTTACACTTCACTCGGCTGCAGTCGGGGAGCATATTCGTTTTCAGATTCACATTGCTGCGTCGGCTCGTCGTCAACCGTAACACTCGAAATCCATATTAGAAAATTGCTACAGCACAAGCCACCATTATAGCAGATTCCTCGACCCACACAGCACACCACAGATTCAGATATTGGATTACAAGAAGAATGTTGTGGCCCACAGAGTTTATAGTCTTGTTACTCAGGAAATCCTTGTCGAGAGGCAGCACGGGCTTTTTTTTTTTTGTTTGGAAATATTTCGTACTGGAACCAGGTCTTTCCAGTCATAAACACTGACTGTAGTCACCTTGACCTTCGCGACCTTCGTAGTGTTAAGCTTGATTTGTGTCCCGTCTCTCCGCTTCCTGAAGGCTTTTGGGATTTGTTTTCACTCTTGATATTGAGTATAAAGTGAGCTGCAATCTGGAATAATGAAAACTTTGAAAGAGTTGTAGTTGGAAAGAGTGCAAGGATCAGATTCTGCAGTGAGAGGTCTTATTGGCAGTTCTTCATCAGCCCGTTTGATGTTTTTCAGTTTTTCCCTCCATTGTTCTCACTAACCAGCAGTTTCCCTTTCAGTTGTGTTATCACTTACTTTTGAATGGTCACACAGTCCACACTACTGACGAGAAGACCAGCTCTTTAAAGTAACCTGGTTCTTCTGTTCACCTGCCACGAGTGAAACAACTCCTGAACGAAAGGGATTCTGTATTTTTATTCACCCCCCGCCTCAAATATTCTGGCTCTACACCCGATTTCTCCCCGCTGCCTCTCTCTGCTGTTGCTGGCCTCTTTTGTAGCAGTGGCTCTCTTGTTATTCTGAGGTAGAGCATTAAATTAGAAACCTAAAATGAAAATAAAATCGGACAAAAAAACAACCCTTGTATAGATTTGGGGGCATGCAGTTGAGTCATGAATCCTCTTAAAAAATGTTAATGTAGATCATATAATAAGAGTTGTTCACATCAGGCAGTCTTCATCAAAAGAACAGTGTTTTTAAGTCATACTCGATCATTTTACCAAAGCTAATCAAGGTGCATATGAACGGTGATTCAGTGAGTAATGGCACTCTGAGACTCCGACTTTCAGGTATTTTGCTTTGAATAGCTTTTCAGAGTCATAATTCAAAAACTAACTCTAATATTTTGTAACATAAAAGATGTTAGATATCTTTTTATGGGTATAATTGTATTGTGTGTGTCGATTTCAATCTCTGAAAAGTAATTTTTGATGATTTCTGTATTATCAGTTTAGACATTAATGTTGTAATTTAGTTTAGAAGTGAACCCGAGCTCGGAGGCTATTGTCTGGAAACATACTGTAACACAAATAGACACCCCAGATATCTTTTTTTTAAATTAATTTCTTTCCAGTTCATCAAGAATAAGCGAGCTGTGGAATATAAAAGCTTCAGTCTGTAAACTCCTCCAGCATTCAGCCCTTAAAACTTAACAGTTTAACATCACTTTCATTTTAGAAACATGATTTTTGCTTTCTGTTTTAAACAAAAACAACGTAATATAACACATTTAAAACTTGACATTATGGTTTTCCACAGGGCTTTTCTTTTGCTAAAAGTAATCACAGATCTGTCAAACAAAGCCCGTGTCATGCTTTGTCTTTCTCT